CAGGCACAGTGGCTCACGCCTATAATCCCAGCACTTTGGGAGATGGAGGTGGGTGGATCACCTGAAGTCAGGAGTTCGAGACCAGCCTGGGCAACCTGGTGAACCGCTGTCTCTACTAAAACCACAAAAATTAGCTGGGTGTGGTGGCAGGGACCTGTAATCCCAGTTACTCGGGAGACTGAGGCAGAAGAATTGCTTAAACCTGGGAGGTTGCCACATTACTCCAGCCTAGGCAGCCTAGGCAACAAGAGCAAAACTCTGTCTCGAAAAAAAGTAGGAGTAAGGCCAGGTGCATTGGCGTGAGCCTGTAGTCCCAGCTACTCGGGAGGCTGAGGTGGGAGGATCGCTTGAGTCCAGGAGTTCTGGGCTGTAGTGCACTATGCCGATCAGGTGTCCACACTAAGTTAGGCATCAATATGGTGACCTCCCAGGAGCGGGGGACCACCAGGTTGTCTAAAGAGGGGCGAATTGGCCCAGGTCAGAAACACAGCAGGTCAAAACTCCTGTGCTGATCAGCAGTGGGATCGTGCCTGTGAACAGCCACCGCACTCCAGCCTGGGCAACATAGCGAGACCCCATCTCTAAAAAAAAAAAAAGAAAGAAAAGTAGTGATAAGATGGGAATGGTTCAGAGTAAGAGAAGTATGTATATAATACAGTGAGTTCATCTCTTTAAAGGTTAAGCAGGGGAGAAGTTTGAAAATACATCTTCATCTAAGAAAGAGTATGTTGCTTAGAAAACAGACAGGAAGTTAGAGAACTATCTTATGGACAAGTAGGAAAAGTAAGTACAGAGAAAAGTTCTGGAGTAATACAAAGGTCTCAAAATCACTGGACAAGAGAATGCCCATATTTCCCTAGAATTTACATTAATAATAATCTTTCTTCTGGCAGGCTGCAGTGGCTCACACTTGAAATCCCAACATTCCGGGAGGCCAAAGAGATCATGTGAAGTCAGGAGTTTGAGACCAGCCTGACCAATACGGCAAAACCCCGTCTTTAAAAAAAAATGTTTATAATAATAAAAAGAAAAAAAATCTGGTGACTATGTACGATTTATCATAATCACTAGTAACCATAATGCAATTAAACCCAAGGTGCTATCTACAGAAGGCCAGCAGGCTCAAATTAGCTCTTAGAAGCTGAACTATCAGTCTTTCTTCTCACAGAGTTGACGTAAATCTCTCAGCTCTCTAAGACAATTACGACGACACAAACTAGCACCTTCTCTAGTCACTGCGTGGACTCTACTACCCCACGGACAAGAAACACTTGAAGAACTACCTGTTTTTACTCTCCTAATAACTTACACCCCCACACGACCAGAATAAACCTTTAAAAGGAGTTAACTGACAAATGGAAAGAAATCAAGACTATGAAAATACTCCACCACCACCACATACATGTGCAGAGGGAACTGTTTACTTGATATATGCAGTACCCCAAATCAACAGTTACCTAAAACTATCTTAGCCTTTCCAGCATGTCCTGAGCAAATATATATATGTATCTTAGCCTGACCTAAATATCTTGGTTTTGAAGCAGTGAAGTGTGGGCCTTGCTCTAAAAGTTGGTCCCTTAAAAAAATCCAAACATGGCCGGGTGTGGTGGCTCATGCCTATAATCCCAGCACTTTGGGAGGCCGAGGCGGGTGGATCACAAGGTCAAGAGATCAAGACCATCCTGGTCAACAAGGTGAAACCCCATCTCTACTAAAAATACAAAAATTAGCTGGGCATGGTGGTGCACGCCTGTAATCCCAGCTACTCGGGAGGCTGAGGCAGGAGAATTGCTTGAACCCAGGAGGCGGAGGTTGCGGTGAGCCCAGATCGTGCCATTGCACTCCAGTCTGGGTAACAACAGTGAAACTCTGTCTCAAAAAAAAAAAAAAAATCCAAACACTTAATAAAGCCATGATTAGGCAAGCCAGGGACCTTTGTACATTCATCTAGCTCCCGCAGTTGAAGGCAGGACCATCCACTCAACAAGGGGAGAACGCTGTGAAAGAAAGCTAATGAACTGAAATTTGTTTGGCAAATGAATTTTTCAGATTCTATTCATTATAGTTTTGTTTTTCCCCAACTGGAAAATACCCCTATTCCATTCACTACAGACTCCAAAGCTTTCAGACGGGCTCCAGCGGGTTCAGGGTGGTATGGCCGTACATCAGACCCCTAAGCTTTCAATACAGTCTTTTACTTACAGTTCTGAATTTGAACAGAATAGAATTTCTTACAGTTCTGAATTTTCAGAACTATTCACCATCAACAAGGTATAAAAGAAGAAACGCTGGGCCGGGTGCAGTGGCTGAAGCCTGTAATCCCAGCACTTTGGGAGGCCGAGGCGGGTGGATCATGAGGTCAAGAGATTGAGACCATCCTGGTCAACATGGTGAAACCCCATCTCTAAAAATACAAAAAATTAGCTGGGCACGGTGGCGCGTGCCTGTAATCCCAGCTACTCAGGAGGCTGAGGCAGGAGAATTGCCTGAACCCAGGAGGCGGAGGTTGCGGTGAGCCGAGATCGCACCATTGCACTCCAGCCTTGGTTAACAAGAGCAAAACTCCGTCTCAAAAAAAAAAAAGAAGAAACACTGGAATAAGCTGGAAGTCCTGATTTTCAGCTGACTCTGCAGGCCAACTGATTGGGAGTAAATGGAAAATAATACCTTAAATGAGAAGACAGTTGTGGTCTGCTCCTGACTAGGTACATAATCTTGGGAAATTTACTTAAGTCTCTGGGACTCACTTTGCTCATCTGTGAATGGGGTCTGACACCATTTGCTGGACACCCAGTCCTGAAAGATTCCTCTTCGATCTAAAATTCAAGAACTACAAAGTATTCCTACTCTCTTCTTCCCTCCAACACAGATTTTTATGAGATCAGAGAGCATAAGTCTAGCGCTAGGGCCGGGCGTGGTGGCTCACGCCTGTAATCCAAGCACTTTGGAGGCCAAGGAGGGCAGATTACCTGAGGTCGGGAGTTCAAGACCAGCCTGACCAACATGGTGAAACCCCGTCTTTAAATAAATGAATAAAATAAGTCTAGCGCTAGACTTTAACTCAAACCAGGGTGCATCTTATATATTTAATGTCTCCAAGAGCCAGTAGTGCTCCACAAAAGTAGATGGAACCAATTAAGATAAGTTATCCAGAGATCCTTCAAGAAGTCATTCTTTACCATTAAAAACTAGCCTTTTTTCAGTCCAATGTCACTTGTGCCAATTGCTCAAAACAGTATCTCCGACAATCTAGCCACATCTGAGGTGACAATCATCCACGTGGTACACATTACACATCTGGGTGGATGACACCAAGTGGCTGAAAAATTCCCACTACATACAACATTTGAAATTAGGGAAGTTTTTTGGTTTTTCAATTTTTTCTCCTTCAGAAAGGCAAAATCAAACATAATCGGCTTACACACCTGCAAGAAACGTTTATTTTAAAAGACTTTCTTCGAGACAAAAAGAACCAAACAAGTCAACAGAAGTAAATTTAAAATTAGAACTATTAAAAAACACAAGTATAACCAACTCTGAGGTAAAAAGGATTCTAATTTTTCACCGTAAACTATTAAACATGGTTTGTGAACAAATCAATTTGGATGTAAATAGTGCCATTCAATGAAGACGACCTGTAACTGTAGACCAATCAGTAAGATACAAATGTTTAGGTGATTCCTAATCAATACAATGACTTAGACTAAGCATACTGCATCTATTTTCATGCAACATCGCTTCAATCATTTACAGGTTTTTTTTTTTTCCAACTGGAAAATAACCGCTTTTCCACTCAACACATACCCCAAAGCTTTCAGGCGAGTTCGGGTGAGTTCGGGTGATAGACAAGATCCCTAAGCTTTCAATACAATCTTTTACTTACACAGTCTTCAAGAAGTCTGCATTAAAAGAAAACCTACCCAAAGTATAACTGAATCTCAATCAATATAAAACGGTGATTCACGTTTTTTCGTTAAATGCAAAAGGCAAATGGAGTTGTAAAGAGTTTCTTTCCCATTTCAACTCCAACAGCCACGCGCGCTTTCAGCGACCGGCCACACTGCGCGGTCGCGGGGCCCGGCCTAGAGCCCCCGCCCTGCCCGGCACTGCCGGGAGAGGAAGCGCCGGGGACCGAGGGCGGGCGGGCGGCTTGGGCTCCACCAGGCCAGGCCGGGCGGGGGAAGGGGCACTGGAGACTACGGGGCGCGCTTCCGGGGACTGCGCGGGCGGGGTCGCCGCTTTGGGGCGCGGGGCCGGGGCTGGGAGTCAGGTCAAGGGTCAGGGGCCAGGGGTGGCTGGGCCAGAAGCAGCCGGTGGGGCGCGGCCGCGGCGGGGCGGCGGCCTGAGGGCCGGAAGAGTGCTGGGCAGGCCGGCCTGGGGCGCCGCGGCGCCTGGAGGGAACCCTTCTGCTCACCTCAGGCAACGAATCCGAGTCCAGCCTTTTTGCGCCGGGGACGCCGGTCCGCGAGTCGCAAGCTCGGAGACGAAGACGAGCAGCTGAAGACGAGACCGTAGACTAACGAGGGAACCGACGGAGGACCGCGGGCAGCGGGAGGGGAGCGCGAGAGAGCGAGGGCGGGCGGCGGCGGGAGGGCGGGGAACGACGTGCGCGTCCCCGAGTGCCCAGCGGGCTCGAGCCGGCCCCGTTCGCGGCCCCGCGCACGCGCGCGCACTCACAGCTCATCCACGATTGCTCAGGAGCGCATCCACGCCCTAAAAGCAAAACGCTTAACCAATCATTGCAGCCGCGTGGGGCATCACGGGAACTCTGGGGCTATAAAAGACCTGGTTGCTATTTTATACTCCCGGAGTCGCTCAACCCTTAAGCAAGCTGGGTGGGTCTAGGTGCGCCTGCGCCGTTTTAATACTCCGCCTCAAACTGCCAACTCTTCACGCATGCGAAGTAGTCCCCTCCCTGCCTGAATTTGCGCGTGCGCACTGACGGGCCGGGCCCTGGAAGACCGCACGCCTGCGTCTTGGGGACTACGGTGACAGTACCCCAGGTGGGGCGTGGGCCAGTCATGGCGGAACCCTGGTCTGGGCAGGCCTTGCAGGCTCTGCCGGCCACGGTGCTGGGCGCGCTGGGCGCTCTGGGCAGCGAGTTCTTGCGGGAGTGGGAGGCACAGGACATGCGCGTGACCCTCTTCAAGTTTTTGCTGCTGTGGTTGGTGTTAAGTCTCCTGGGCATCCAGCTGGCGTGGGGGTTCTACGGGAATACGGTGACCGGATTGTATCACCGTCCAGGTGAGGCTCCCTACGAACCTCCGTGGGCTGGCTGCCCCCGCCGCTACCCTCTCTGAACTGTACCATTGGGTTCCCCACTATCCTGCAAGAGGCTCATGAGATTTTAGCATTGGTTCACGGCCTTACTACCCTGAATGTATTTGACCTCGGAAGCTAAGCAGGGTACTTCGATGGGAGAACCTAACGTTGTACCCTGACTCCTGCCACCATAGCATTTTACGCCAGAATCCCCACCAGTCCACCGATCGCATTGTATCTATTGCTCGGAATTCTCACCTGACAATACCATTAGTCCCTTAGGACCCTCACCAGACTCCACCAAACAATACCAGTGGCCTCTAACCTGACCTGGGCTGATGCCTGCTCAGATCCCCACCCCAGCCTGCTGCAGCCCTGGATGTGTTTTTGCCTCCAGGTCTGGGTGGTCAGAATGGATCCACGCCTGATGGCTCCACGCATTTCCCTTCGTGGTGAGTAAATCTGTCCATACTGCACCCCCATGCTTGGCGTTCCAAGGACTATCCTGTCCTGGTGACAGATAGGGGAGTTCTCAGGCTATAAACCCACCAGCTTAATGGCCTTTGCAGCAAGCTTCAAGTCTGCACACAGAGCTCAGGCTTCAAGTTTGGATGACACCAGGATCTGGACAGTCCATCAGCATGCTGTTCAGCAGCCTGTAGGATGGGTGGTGGTACTGTCATAATTTCAAAGAGATGAAATGGCAGGTTTGTTGGATTCCACTCCATACAATCCCCTCAGTTGGGAAGGCAGGAATCTCTGTCCTTAGTACATTGACCTCATCAGGGTCAGCCTCCTCTTCTACAAAACATGGCCTCACTAATCAGGGCATTCATGTAGATAATCTCTGGGCTCCTATCATGGTGGGGGCCACACTAGGCCCAGAGAACAAAGACAACCCAGGCCCTGCTCAGGGGGAGCCAGGAATTTATTAGGGGAGGGCAGCAGTGCATGGGGCAAGGGTGGTCAGGGCTTCTCCCAAGAAAGACACCTAAGCTGAGATCAAAGGCCACAGGGTGACGAAGTATACCAGGCAAAGGGAATGGATAGAGCAAGGCTAAAAGGGAAGGATAAGGGTGACATATTAGAAGAATAGATGAGACTGTGATGCTGGAGCTTGAACGTGAGAGCTTGTTGGACCCTGGGAGCAATTGAAAGACTAACTCAGCAAGGTGTGGTCTGATCTAATTTGCCTTTATAACTGCCTACTTCGTGGCAAGCAGATAAAGAGGTCCAAGAGTGAGGGCTAAAGGTCAGATAGAAAGGCTGCCACTGCCCAGGTTTCTGTTTTAGAGAAGAGGCTGGGTCTGGTGGTTCACGCCTGTAATCCCAGCACTTTGGAGAGACTGAGAAGGGTAGATCACCTGAAGTCTGGAGTTTAAGACCAGCCTGGCCAATATGGCAAAACCTGTCTCTACTAAAAATATAAAATTTAGCTGGGTGTGTTGGTGGGTGCCTGTAATCCCAGCTACTTGGGAGGCTGAGGCAGAATAATTGCTTGAACCCAGGAGGTGGAGGCTGCAGTGAGCTGAGATCTCACCACTGCACTCCAGCCTGGGCAACAAGAATGAAACTCCGTCTCAAAAAAAGAAAAAGAGTAATAATAAAAATAAATGAAAAGAATAAAAAAAAACTAGAGGATGGCAATGCCATACTAACATGGAGAACCAGGAGGAAGAATAGGTCTGCAGGGAGAAGGTGCTAGGCCCCAGGTGGGCTGTGGGAGATCAGCAGAGAGGTCTAGATTGTTATGTGACCTTACTGAGCCTAGCTTAGCCCCCAAGGAGTTTGGGAGAGCCAATTTCAGCTACTGTTCTTCCCATGGAATAACCCCCCCGCTCTCTATCACTTTCAGGGAAATGGCAGCAAATGAACCTCTCAAAACCCACAGAGAATAAGAGAAGGCAGCAGAGGGTCTCCAAGGACATCACTGGGTCTGCTGGCTTCTACACTGAGTTCTGCTGCTTACCAGACCCCAGGGACAACTGCCAGGGGTTCAGGGTTGGTAGCAGGGAGTACCCCAGTGCCTGTGGGGCTGAGCCTCCTCTGCCCCTTGGCCTTGCTCCCTTGCCCAGGCACTGGGCAAGTGAAGAGTTTGCCTGTACCTTTTCTGGGTGCCTTAAGTAGAGAAATTGTGTTCCTCCTCTCTCAGGGGTGACAACTCAGGAAGCCTCTGAGTTGGGAAGGCCAATAGTTCTTTTGTCTTGAGTTTCTTTTTCTGTCCCTCTTCACATCCCCCTGAAATATAACCCCATAAAAACTTTTCCTGAGTTGACTGGGTGCAGTGGCTCACACCTGTAATCTCAACACTTTGGGAGGCCAAGGCAGGCAGATCATAAGGTCATGAGTTCAAGACCAGCCTAACCAACATGTTGAAACCCCATCTCTACTAAAAATACAAAAATTAGCCAGGCATGGTGGGAGACAACTGTAATCCCACCTACTCCGGAGGCTGAGGCAGGAGAATTGCTTGAACCTGGGAGGCAGAGGTTGCAGTGAGACAATATCATTGTGCCATTATACTCCAGCCTGGATGACAGAGAAAGACTCCGTGTCAAAAAAAAATAATTCCTGAGAGGAAGCCGGAGGTTAACCAGCTCTGGGGTTTGTAAGGCAGGTCTGTTTTCTCCTAAGCCCTGAGTTTTCTGAATCTCATTTTGCTTTGTTGGCAATGAGCCAGGGAATCCTGACCTGAGCCAGACCTTAAGCTCTGTGATTACTTAGCTGGCCATTCAGGTATAAGGCAGTGTGGTGGTGTCCCTACAGGCACCATCCAGATGGAGGCACAAAACACCCACATCCCTGGCCCAACCAGACTTCTCCTATGAGCCAGGCTAAGGAGATTGTCATCTGCCAACTGTCCTATTCATGTTCCTCTCAGTCTTTTTTGGGGGTAAGCTGGGTGCCTGAAGGAGCACAGCTGAACGCCGGGAGTGGCCTCCTACCCCCTAATGCTTAAGTGCCTATGGGAACTTGAGTCTGTACGTTGTTCCCACATAGGATGGTACCAAGCAGTTAGTGCACAGTGGCCCTATCATAGCCTGCAGCCTCATCATTTCCCATCTAGACCTGGTACAAACCACCTCACAGGCTCAGCTCTTCCCTACTAGCATCTTTACCTTCATGAACCAGGCAGTCCTGCCATGTCACAAAAGGCCAGGGGACTTTCCAAAGGTGTGGGTGACAAATGCCCCTATAGAAACACCAGTACCTGAAAGCACTGTAACCCTGGACCTGCCTCCTTCCCTGATGGCCATACTTCTGCCTCCATCTGCTGGGCCACCAGCCACTTTAGTGACTCCTGCCTACTTCCCCTCTGTTGGATGTCACACTTCCATCTGGCTGCATTTGCCTAAGCCATCTTTGTGGTAGAGGTGCACTGGAGTTGCGGCTATACTGAGGATGATGGTCTTCACAGCCCCAGGCCCACCCTCTAATACTACAACACAGAATCAGAGTGTCACATTTCACCCCAGGCTCAAGTGAGGATGTGGCTTATTAAACCCGGAAGCGCATTGTTTGTTGTGGTTATTCAGACATAACAAGGGTGTATATGCACAGGGGCAGTGAGAGAGGGAACATCCTGGAGGCTCTTCCCCCTTGGTACCCAGATGCAATAACTTGCAGGGAGGGGAGAGGTGATGCCAGCTTCCTGGAGGAGCAGTGATGGGGTGCCCAACAGGGGCGGTATCTCCATTCATAGACTGGCCCCTTTCTTTTTTTTTTTTTTGAGACGGACTTTCGCTCTTGTTAGGCAGACTGGAGTGCAATGGCTGGATCTCGGCTCACTGTAACCTCTGCCTCCTGGGTTCAGGCAATTCTGCCTCAGCCTCCTGAGTAGCTGGGACTACAGGCGTGTACCACCATGCCCAGCTAATTTTTATATTTTTAGTAGAGACGGGGTTTCACCTTGTTGACCAGGATGGTCTGGATCTCTTGACCTCATGATCCACCCGCCTTGGCCTCCCAAAGTGCTGGGATTACAGGCGTGAGCCACTGCGCCCGGAGACTGGCCCCTTTCAAGGGGAACCTATTCTAAGCTTGTCTTGAAAGCCAAGAAAGCAGGCATTGGGTTGGCATTTCATGAACCCCGTGAACAAAGAACAATGAAGCCAGAGACTGGCAAGTAAAAAGGAAGTTTAATTTTTTTTTTTTTTTCTCATCCATGCCAGTGCAGAAGGAAGTTTAATTTTTCTTTCAGGATTCAGTGGAGTCCATTAATGGATACTGGGGCAAAGGTCAGCCCAGGGTAAGGCAAGTCCAGGAGGAAGCTCACCAGCCCTGGAGCTCAGAACAGGTGGTGAGCCTGCCATGGTTTGCTACTGGGCAGCAAACTAGACCAACTTGGAAATGTGGGAGTAAATCAGTGTTCCCTCAACCATCCCCAAGTTTACACACAGGCACAGCAGCCCTACTATGAGTCAGCAATTATTTCTGACTGGCAGTAGGGACAATTTGCATTTATGGAAAGCAAACTGGAGAGGATAGCCTAAGTCCACACTGCCCATGTTACTACCCTTTGCAATGTGAAAAACCATGGTGAGGTAGGTTGGGCAGGTTTTATCCTCCACAAAGGTGAGCCTTTGCTCCACAGCCAGCACCTGGCAGGGTGGGAGAGATGGCAGAACCAAAGCTTCTTATTACCCTCCAGCAGGTAAGAATAGGTCAGTGGGATCATGGACTAAAACAAGACATTGTGTGAGCTGGTCCATCACTCAGAAGCAGGGTCCTGAAGGAAGCTGGAGTGGCATGAGTTAGGTGGGGAGAATAGGTGGTATGGCCCCTCAACCAGACAATTAGAATCAGCCTCCATCTTAGCTGCCCAACCCTAGTGAGTTCTGCCTCAGCGTCTTGACTAACCCCTTGTAGGATGCCCTCCAAGGCAGGATTCCTGGAGGGGACAGCCCCACCCTGAGCCATCCTCATTTAAGGGTATAATAGTTCGTGGGCACAAAGGGCATCTTGCTGACCACAGCCATCTGCTGCTTTCGCCGCACCTCTACCATCAGCTTTGTCCCTGGACGACTGTACTCGCAGGGCACGTAACCCATCGCTACATTCTTCTTCAGAGAGGGTGAGGGGCAGCCACTGGTCACAGTACCTGTCAAGCATAAGCCATGCATCAGCACTATCCTGCAAGTGCCCCTACCCTCCTGGAGAAGAGACAGGGCTTCCCAGCTTCCCTGGTCCACCTACCAATCATGGTACCCTCCATGTTCAGGATGGGACTGTGTGCCCGCATTGGGGCCCCCTCACACATCAAGCCCACACGCCTCCGCTGCACCTTGCCCTTCAGCTGGGGAACAATGACCTTGGCTCCAGGGAAGTCCATAGCAGCTCGGCGGCGCTTCCCTGGAGAATGACACATGAAACATGAGCTGCAGCACATAGAAGCTCTGGCCACCGGAGGCCCTTATGAGGACTTCAAGTAACACCCATCTAGTGTCACGACCCCTTTGCTTGGGGTACTCCAAGCTCTATTCCTCCCCTGCACTGCCGCGAGTCAGCCAACCAACCACCTCTTACCCTCTAAAGGCCATACTGCCCACCTGCTGAGCATCTGCAGTTTCTAATGGACAAAGCCACAGTGGCACCTTCAGGGAAAGGAGGCTCAGGAAGGCTGAGTCGCTTGCTCAAGGTTACACAACCTTAGGAGGAGTCATGGGCTGGCTAGTCTTATTAAGGGTCACCCCAGCTTCCAGAACCCCAGCCTTTAAGTGCTGGCCCAGCTCACCCAGTGTCCAACTGAGGCTGCCCTCCACAGGTGTAGTGTGTTCATCAATGTCATTCCCATACAGGCAGAGGCCTGCCTCCAGGCGCAGGCTATCCCTGGCGGCCAACCCTGCCAGCTTCACCTCTGGGTCTTGCAGAAGAGCTGTTGCCAGGTGAACTGCCCCCGCTGCTGGGACCGAGATCTGTATGGAACACCAGAGGGCAGATGAGACGCTCCCTGTACCGCACACCCCCTAACCCTCACCCCCATCTCGTGCCCTGTACTGCCTCCTACACCCACTTCTTGACACACCTCCACACCGTCCTCTCCTGTGTAGCCACAGCGGGTCACACGGCAGCCAGACACACCAAACACCTCCATCACAGCACTGGTCATGAAGGGCAGTTTCCTCAGGTCATCTGTCACACCGGCCTGTAGCACCTGGGCTGCAGTGGGGCCTGGGCCCAGGGAGCCAGTGACCAAGTATCCAGGTCCCGGCACCCCTCAAAGCTGGACTAAAGCCTTATTCAGGGACCAGAACAAGCTCTGAGCAAGTCTTACTCTACAAGTGGGAAAAGATGGCCTTGTCCCTAGCCCATGAAGCCTTGTGGTAGGTAGGAGGAGGGCAAGATAGCAAACTTAAAATTATGGCACACAAATATCACACTTTCTATACCTCCTTGGTATGGCCTCTGTGCTAAGCAGTCAATGAAACCAGGAAGGCAAAGGCTGGCTCCAACCTCAGCCCAGCCCTCTCACCTTGCAGAGCTAGCAGGGCATTATCCAGCACCTCCAGGCCCACATCTCTGCCCTGGTTCTGAAGCTCCCTGACCTTGTCCTAAAAGACAGAAACACCACATGAGCATCTGGAGCCACTTACTGAGCACCTACCATGGGCTGGACACTGCAGAGCTGGACAGTAGTAAGATAGTGGAAAGGAGAAGGAAGGGGGGAAAAAAAAAGGTATTGGGCTGATTCCCATCTTACAAGGTCACCCAAGCCCTGGTCTGCCACCTCACACCCTCACCAGAGGTGCCAGGGCCCCCTTCCCCATCCCCAGTAATCCCCCACCACCAAACTCTGGCATGCTCCAGAGAGGGCCTGCTCTGAAGTCTCATAGCTATTCATTCACTCAAAAAGCCATTTTCCAGGCCCCTTGTCTGAACCAACCCTGTCCTGGACAACAAGGATGCTGCTGTATGAACAAGGAAGACAAGGTGCCTGGAACACAGAGAGGGTGTACCTGCATGAGGGCCAAATCTTTCTCCCAGCAGCCAGCATTGGATACCACATACAGGTGCCCCTCAGAAGTATTGGTTACAATCAAGTCATCTAAGATGCCTCCAGCCTCATTGGTAAACAGCGACAGTGTCCCCTAGGACCAAAGTGGAGCATTTTGGCCTCCACGTGCAGAAGGCCAAGGCCAAGGGTGAGCCAGACACACCCCTGGATCCACTTAGCTACTACAAGGTTATGAACCCTAATGTGAAGGACTCAGGGTGTGCAAAGTGCAAGACTGGGTCCAAGTCCACGGTCTTTGATCCTCGTGCACCAAGTAAGTTTTCATCCCCTCCCCACCTTGGGGTAGGTACTTTACTGATCTGGTAAGACCTCTGCACCCCTCCCTACTCTTTTTTTATTTTTTCCAGTCAACCAAAGGGACAATTTGTTGAGGCTCCAGGGCCATGAGGCCTGGGCAGGAGGTTGCCCTTCCAGGAAGGAAGAGGCTTATTTGACCTTCTTCTTGGGACACAGGTTGTTGGTGTGGCCACACTTCTTGCAGCAGTTGACGGCATCAGGGTGCAGGCGAGCATAGCAGCTGCCGCAGATCATCTTGTCACAGTTGTATTTCTGGGCAAGCTGGCGGAGGGAAGGCTCAGTAATGCCACCTCGCAGGCACAGCACCAGGTGCAGGGTGGACTCTTTCTGGATGTTGTAGTCTGAGAGCATGCAGCCATCCTCCAGCTGTTTGCCGGCGAATATCAGATGCTGCTGGTCAGGTGGGAAGCCCTCCTTGTCTTGAATTTTGGCTTTGACATTCTCAATGGTGTCATTGGGCTTGACCTCAAGGGTGATGGTCTTGCTAATGAGGGTCTTCACAAAGATCTGCATCTCTGCATCTGCAACTCGGCCGCCTCCCCCTCCCCATTCTACTGAGAGCCCCATCTCATGCTTAATCTATAATACCTAGGACTTGCTGCTTCACCTACCCAAACCTGGAACAACTCAGCCCATGTGCCAACCCACAGGACAAAAGCTTCAAAGGCCATCTTGATTATCCCAGGCTCTCCTAAGTACTCCATGGCAGTGCCCCAAAAATACTGGCCTTAGCCTCCCCTCTAGATGGATGAAGAGCCTGAGGTTGAGGGTACATGAATCACCTGGGGATCTTGTTAAAATAAAGGCTCTGATTCAGCAGGTCTGGAGCAGTACCTGAAAGTATATTCCTAACAAGCTCCAAGGTTGCTGGTTTAGAGACCACACTTTTTTTTTTTTTTTTTTTTTTGAGACAGAGTCTTGCTCTGTCACTCAGGCTGGAGTACAGTGGTGCGATCTCAGCTCACTGCAATCTCCGCCTCCCTGGGTTCAAGCAATTCTCCTGCCTCAGCCTCCTGAGTAGGTGGGACTACAGGTGCGCACCACCACACCGGATAATTTTTGTATTTTTAGTAGAAACGGGGTTTCACCATGTTGGCCAGGCTGGTCTCAAACTTCTGATCTCAGGTGATCCACCTGCCTTGGCTTCCCAAAGTACTGGGATCACAGGCGTGAGACACCGTGCCTGGCTAGGTAGGGACCACACTTTGAATAAAGAAGGGTTAGGCAGCAGGGATGGTCAGAGAACAGAATATTGACCTTAGTTTCTGGCTTCCTAGCCTAATGTGGTAAGGCTGGGATATTAACCTCCCTACAAATGGCTGGGTCTCTGGAAATGACTCAGGGATTTCGTCCCCCAAGACTGCAAGCCTGAGAAGCCATGTTTGACTCATCTCTGTGCCCCTAAGCCTGAGGTAGGGACTCAGCCCATTTGCTACCTCATGACTAAGAAAACTCATAGAGCAGAAATAAAAGAAGGGCCCACCTGGTTTGGTCTTAGCTCTGCAATGTCTCCAACCACTAGACTCTCCATCAGCTTCACCCGGTCACTACCACATATCTTGGTCTGGGGAAAGAGATTGAAAGCCTCAGGCCATTGCCAACAGCTACAGTCTAAAAGTCCACTAAGCAAGGATGCATCCTCCCTGCCATCCACAGTGCAGTCCAGCCCAGCCAAAGTGACTAACCAGTCTTTTGGTTCTACAAGTGGCAAAGGATCATCTTCTGATTTCCTGACCTCCCCCAGTCACCCTGTGCAGGGGGACTGCCAGGGAACTGGACAGGACCTCACACCTTCCTGAAATAACCCTTTTGAAACCAATACCCAGCCCAATACATTAGAGTGGGTGTTACCCATGGAAAACCCAAGACATTAAGGCACACCACTTAGTGGGAGCAGGCTAGAAAGATGAAATGATGGCCGGGCGTGGTGGCTCACACTTGTAATCCTAGCACTTTGGGAGGCCGAGGTGGGTGGATCACCTGAGGTCAGGAGTTCAAGACCAGCCTGGCCATCATGGTAAAACCCCATCTTTTTAAAAAAAAAAAAGAAAGATGAGATGATGAGGCCCTCTGAGCTCATTTCCTTGGGGCCATTGACCTATCCATGACACCCCCATGACCTCTAGCTCTTCTGGGAGGGCTGTCCTTGGGATCCAGTTCCCAGCAAACAAACCCAAGGAGGGCACCACTGTAAATGGGGAGGAAGGCCTGATGAGGCAGCCAGCATGCTCCCCTGACTTACCTGCAGCATATGAGACACATCAAAGAGCGAGCAGTGCTGGCGTGTGTGTAGGTGCGAGTCAGTGTGACTGTCCCGGTACTGCACTGGCAGACTCCAACCCGCGAACACCACCATTTTCCCGCCGTGGGCCAGGTGGAAGTCATAGAGCGGTGTCCTGCGGAGCAAGTCCTGCAGGGGGCTGGGCTTAGTGCCACCAAGGCCCTAGCCCCCAGCCGCTTCCCTCCCCCACCCTCCAAGATCAGCACCCTCTATCCCACCTGTGCGAAACTGAGTGGACGACACAAGTCCGGGGAGAATGCCTGCAGGCGAAAGCCCAGACGGGCCACCACACTTACAGCCCTCTGCATCGTCGCCAGCAACGAGTACAGACGGCGCACAGAGGCCACCACACTGCCAGGCACGCCGGGAGATGTAGTCCAGGCCTCTGCTTGGACAGGTCTCTCTCCGAGCAAAGGATCAAAGGAGGGGGCGGGCAGCCCCAAGGGCAGGCTGGGATTTAGAGCAGAGAATGCAGGAACTCCCAAAGCAGGGAAACCGCCTCCAGCTGGCTCTTCAGGGAAGCTCAAGCAATCCAGAGCCGATCGGGCTGCCCAAAACAGAGCCAGGGGCTAGACCGCCCCCTGCAAAACTGCCCTGTCTCCAAAGGGTCAAAGTTCTAAAATGGGCTGAAAGGTCTCAATCATACATTTAGGACCTCAAGAGAGTAAGGTCAAATGGGGGTGGGGAGAGTGGAGAGGTCACAGCTGGGTGGAGCCAGCCTGGCAGGTCAGCAGCACCACAGTAGTCTGCCCTCACATAGGGGTCCCCGGCTCTCCCACCAGGCAGACACGGTCAGCCAGCAGTCATGCATTCCACAAGTATTTATTGATCTTGCTACATACCAGGCCCTGGGCTGCGGACACAGCCACAAATGAAGCATGGTCCCTGCTACCACAAGGTCCTCTTCACTCACACACACACACTGAAGACTACTGCTCCATCACCCTTTCAGAAGCAGCTGAGTGGGGCTACGTAACTAACCTTGCAGGTAAAGTCACCACCTGCAGGACTCAGGTGAGAGCAGAGGGTAGCCACCAAAAGGTCACTGAACTCCCCTGAGAAAACTGTTGAGCCGCACACATGTCCAATTTTCCAGGTCCAAGGCATACTCCAGTACTGCTTCATAGTAGCCACCAGGGGCAAAGCCAGGAAGAATCAGAGGGACACAGGGTTTTCTCACATGAAGGAAAAGCAGCCTGCATCACATAATGGTTGGCCTGAGTTAATGGAGGACCTAGGCCTCTTAAAAGGCACCAGTGAGGCCGGGCGCTGTGGCTCACACCTGTAATCCCAGCTCTTAGGGAGGCAGAGGCAGGAGGAAAGCTTGAGCCCAGGAGTTCGAAACCTGCCTCAGCAATATAGTGAGATCCCGTTCTCCACAAAAAGAAAAACAAAACAAAACAAAAAAGGCATCAATGAGAACCCTTATTTGGACCCACACCCACCATGGTTGAGCTCTCATCAGGCTAAGCATGTATCTTGGAAAGGGGCAGGCCAGGCGCAGTGTCTCATGCCTGTAATACCAACACTTTGGGAGGCTGAGGCAGGTGGAGATCGGGAGTTCTAGACCAGCCTGACCAACATGGAGAAACCCCATCTCTACTAAAAATACAAAATTAACCAGGCATCATGGCACATGCCTATAATCCCAGCTACTTGGGAGGCTGAGGCAGGAGAATCGCTTGAACCCAGAAAGCAGAAGTTTTGGTGAGCGGAGATGCCACTGCATTCCAGCCTGGGCAACAAGAGTAAAACTCCGTCTCAAAAAAAAAGCAAACGGGCAACTGGCAGAAAGGATAGGGATGTTTCTTTGGGCTGTATCAGATGGCAGAGAGGTCCCAGTTCTTACTCTCAGCCCAGGCCCTATGGGCACACCCATTTGAACATATATTCAGGAGCCAGCTCAAAACCAAGAAACTCAGGCTGCCCTAATCTTCAGCTTTACTTCCTAGGCAAGCAGCAGAAGAGTTTAGGCAGAACATTTCTTTCTGTGGCATAACACAAAGGGAAAGAAAACCACTAGGGGACACACAGGAAGAAATAAGGTTTCTGTTTCTTCCTCAAGTGTCCCAAGTGCCATGGCAGCAATGGCTTTCCAGGTCCATAAATGGAGCAGGTTCTAGTAGGTCAGCCCAGCCCAACTGCACTGAGGTGAGGGAGCTAGCAGAAGACAGGAATGTGCATGTTGATAGGAGGGGCAGAGGGCACTCAGGGATTCTTAGTAAGCACAACTAACTGGAGTGTTTTTGGGTAGAAGGAAGAATTTAGTTGCAGCCAGGTGAAGACAGAGCACACCCCTGCCAGGAGCTCATGCTGAAGCGACACAGTAAGCCCTCAAGAATCTTGAATCTGTGAATGTGGCCCAGACAGAAGAGGCATGCAGGCAATACTGGGAATGCACAGGAAACACACTTCAGCCTCTGGTGGCCCAAACCAAGTCTGGGTGGGCACAGAAAGGCCAACATCTTGGCTAGGAACCACCATTCAAGTGTAGGAGAGCAAGTTCAGGTCATAACAGCCGTCCACCTGAAATACAAAAGACCATTATGTCTGATCTGCTCAGGGCAAAGCAAGCCAAGCAGAGGGAAGTGATCACTTACATCAAAGCGGCCGATCCTCGCAGAGGTGTGACTGGCCCGGATCATCTCTGTCAGTGCCCACATCTGCTGCACCTCGGAGGATACCCTGCTGGGATCTGGGAGACTCTGCTCCAGAAGGAGGGGTCAGTGGCCATGGTGCCCTTAGGGCTCCAGAGAGGCCAACCTGGGCTAGGGGCCCTCCAGCTGAGACCAATAACATTCTCAGATGGTTTATGAAACATGAGGTTAGGGCCTGATGTTCAGTAGGCAGCCCAGTGCCACACCAGAGATGTCTCAAATCCCACCCCAAGAGGAAGATAGTACCCAAGGGTCCTGGGCCCAGCCCCAGAATTTTATAGGAAGGGGTCCACCTGGCCTGTGCTGGACACTAGAGCCATTCACACATGGTTCTTACCTAGGGTGAGGGCTTACCTCACAGAGGAGTGCAGGTTGCTCACAGGGCACTGGGTGGGAGAGCCACTTTGGGAAGGTCATGGAGGGGCTCTGCAAAGCAAAGATAAAGTGCCCTGAGTGAGACAAAGTAGACAGCTCTGGGACCAGATTCCAAGGTCCTAGGAGCAGAGAGAAGGGCCCCTGAGCCTCAGACACTGGGAAAACTCTGTTTAGGGAACCCACAAAGACCTAAAGGGGCAGTCAGACTACCTAAGTTCTCCTGCTGTGCAGACAGAGTCCTCAGAAACACAAGCACAAAAGTGTCTCCCAGCACCTAAAGGCTCCAGCTCTGAAAGTAGTTGGCAGCCCCAAAGGTCAAGAGATATAGGGACATGGCCTCACCGCTCATTATGAGCTTCCAGCATTCACACCAAGCAAACCTCCATGAAGGCCCCCTTCACCATCTTTATCCATTACCCACCCCACTACCTAGCTTTCCCAGTCATAGAAGCCTTCTAGGGAAAGGGCCAGCCAGCAGCTGAGCTAGTCACTTACCTTTGGTCCCTGCTGATAGATCTGCAGCTCTTCCACTGTGAAAGACAGCCACAGTGGTGATGGCTGCCGCAGAATCAGGCGTAGCTCCGATACTCTGGCCATGTCACACAGCATCTGACACACACACACACAAGGACCCAGCGAGGACCCAGCTCACTGCCCAGAAGCCTCTCAATCAACAATGAACCAAAATGCTGCCCACCCCGCAGGCCTTTGGGAAGGAAGGAACAGTAGTCCCTCCAAGGCAGTTGCCTGATAGTCACAGTCCAGGCCAGACTGGCCCGCTCTTCCCTCTTAGTATATTGACCCATTCCCCCCACCTCTGGTTAAGTCCTCATCTGGGCTGCCCTGGCCATCCTGAGGCCCAGCTGACCTGATGCTTGAACAGCGATACATACTCCTGGGCTCCCTCCTCACTGTGTGGGTCAGGCATCAGACAGTAGTCTCGCAGGCAGGTCAGCCACTTGGCCGTTGTGTGTGCTGAGGTGTGCTGACGGACACGGATGCTCAAAAAAGCTGTGTAGTAATTCTTAAATGTGATCTCCTGCAACTGGAGCACATACAACCCATTGCAACAAGTCAGACCCAGGCCCAGGGACAGAAAAGCTCAAAGGTCAAAAGTACTACCTCTTCCTTCCCCCTCTTTTTTTTTTTTTGTTTGAGAGGAAATCTCACTCTGTCGCCCAGGCTGGAGTGCAATGGCACAATCTCAGCTCACTGCAACCTCCACCCTCCCAGGTTCAAGTGATTCTCCTGCCTCAGCCTCCCAAGCAGCCGGGACTACAGGCACATGCCACCATGCCCGGCTAATATTTTTGTGTTTTTAGTAGAGACAGGATTTCACCATGTTGGCCAGGATGGTCTCAAACTCCTGACCTCAGGTGATCCACCTGCCTCTTCCTTTTTGAATGCACTCTTCTACTAAATTAACAATTTCAACAAGCATCACTGGGGCCCAAAAACAATTCTGGTTTCCTTTTTATTTTTATTTATTTATTTTTTAAAAATGGGGTTTCACCATGGTGGCCAGGCTGGTCTTGAACTCCTGACCTCAGGTGATCCACCCACCTCGGCCTCCCAATGTGCTAGGATTACAGGCATGAGCCACAGCGCCCAGCCGATTCTGGTTTCCTAAAGGTGCTCACATTCTAAATGAGTAGGTCATGGAAACAAACCATGACCACAGATCTTGCCACATGTCCAAGATGCTCCTAGAGGGCAGAGCTCTAACCCTGAAAGAGGCAGAAAATGTGCATATGAGGCCTGAAAGAGAAAGAGTTCACCAAGTGGACTAAGAAATGTAGATAACATAGGTGGGTGTGGTAGCTCTTGCCTGTAATCCCAGCACTTTGGAAAGCTGAGGCGGGTGGATCATTTGAAGTCAGGACTTTTATTTTTTTATTTTTTGAGACAGAGTTTCGCTCTTGTTACCCAGGTTGGAGTACAATGGCGCGATCTTGGCTCACCACAACCTCCACCTCCTGGGTTCAAGCAATTCTCCTGCCTCAGCCTCCTGAGTAGCTGGGATGACAGGCGCGCACCACCATGCCCAGCTAATTTTTGTATTTTTAGTAGAGACGGGGTTTCACCTTGTTGACCAGAACGGTCTCAATCTCTTGACCTCATGATCCACCCACCTCGGCCTCCCAAAGTGCTGGGATTATAGGCGTGAGACATCGCACCCGGCCCAAGCTCAGGACTTTGAGACCATCCTGACCAGCACAGTGAAACCCAATCTCTACTAAAAATACAAAAAAGTTAGCTGGGTGTGCTGACATATGCCTGTAGTCCCTGGTACCTGGAAGGCTGAGACAGGAGAATTGCTTGAACCCAGGAGGTGGAGGTGGCAGCACTTCGGGAGGCTCAGACAAGTGGATCTCAAGGTCAAGAGTTCAAGAACAGCCTGGCCAATATGGTGAAATGCCATCTCTACAAAATAAATAAATAAATACATTTTTTAAAAATGTAAATAATATAAAAGCATATACAGAAGAATCAGGGAAAAAAAAGTAGCATATACAAATAATTACAAGAGGGTGAGAGAACCTGGTGTACCACCGGAACAGCCAGTGATTCAGCTTGGCTATTGCAATGGTTCTTGTCATTGGATACTCACCAGAATCACCCAAGAAAATTTGTTACTAGGCCGGGCGTGGTGGCTCACGCCTGTAATATGAGCACTTTGGGAGGCCGAGGCGGGTGGATCACCTGAGGTCAGGAGTTCAAGACCAGCCTGGCCAACATAGTGAAACCCTGTCTTTTTTTTTTTTTTTGAGACAGAGTTTTGCTCTTGTTACCCAGGCTGGAGTGCAATAGCACGATCTCGGCTCACTGCAACCTCCGCTTCCTGGGTTCAAGCAATTCTCCTGCCTCAGCCTCCCGAGTAGCTGGGACTACAGGCGCGCATCACCATGCCCAGCTAATTTTTGTATTTTTAGTAGAGACGGGGTTTCACCTTGTTGACCAGGATGGTCTCGATCTCTTGACCTCGTGATCCACCTGCCCCGGCCTCCCAAAAAACCCTGTCTTTAAAATATATATATATGGCCTGGTGCGGTGACTCATGCCTATAATCCCAGCACTTTGGGAGGCCGAGGTGGGTGGATCACGAGGTCAAGAGATCGAGACCATCCTGGTCAACATGGTGAAACCCTGTCTCTACTAAAAAATACAAAAATTAGCTGGGCATGGTGGCGCGCGCCTGTAGTCTCAGCTACTCGGGAGGCTGAGGCAGGAGAATTGCTTGAACCCCGGAGACGGAGGTTGCGGTGAGCCAAGATCGCGCCATTGCACTCCAGCCTGGGTAACAAGAGCGAAACTCCGTCTCAAAATAAATAAATAAGTAAATTAAATTTAAAATGTATATATATAATATATATATATATGAAAAAAAAAAAAAAAGGAAGAAAATTTGTTACCAAATAAATTGTCCAGGCTCCACCTTAATCTACAAAGTCAGGATTTCCAAAGTTAAGTTCTTTAATTAAGTTTCCCAGATGATAGTGCAGAGCAGCTGAGGGAGAACCACATACTACAGCACAAAGCTCATGAGACAAAGAGAAAGGGCTGGGCGCAGGGCTCCAGCCTGTAATACTAGCCTTTTGGGAGGCTGGGGCAGGTGGATCACCTGAGGTCAGCAGTTCGAGACCAGCCTGGCCAACATGGTGAAACCCCATCTCCCCTAAAAATTAAAAAAATTAGCCGGACATGGTAGTGGGTTCCTATAATCCCAGGTACTTGCAAGGATGAGACAGGAGAATTGCTTTAACCCGGGAGGCAGAGGTTGCACTGATCATTGCACTCCAGCATGGGCAACAAAAGTTAAACTCCATCTCAAAAAAAAAAAAAAACAGACAGACAAGTGGGGCACAGACACAGAGGGCTCTCAATGCCCTGCCATCTGAGGTAGGTTTTGCCCTCTGCATTGAGTCATGCAGTGTCCAGTCCCTCTATCAACTGATGCGGAAGTGGTACAACTGCATATTGGAGATTGGCAACTCGAGTCATTGGGGGGATGGTGATGAGGTACTTGACCTCTGGCAGGGACTGTAAGAAAGGGAAGGAGGCAGGTTTTGGGGTAAATCATTGCTTAGGGAGCCCCAACTGTTGCCAGGGCCAAAATGACCCCTAACTTCTATTTTGGTTCACTATTTGGTATTTCTTTTTTTTTGAAACAGAGTTTCGCTCTTGTTACCCAGGCTGGAGTGCAATGGCGCGATCTCAGCTCACCGCAACCTCCGCCTCCGGGGTTCAGGCAATTCTCCTGCCTCAGCCTCCTGAGTAGCTGGGATTACAGGCACACGCCACTGTGTCCAGCTAATTTTTTGTATTTTTAGTAGAGACAGGGTTTCACCATGTTGACCAGGATGGTCTCGATCTCTTGACCTCGTGATCCACCCGCCTTGACCTCCCAAAGTGCTGGGATTACAGGCGTGAGCCACCGCGCCCGGCTCACTATTTGGTATTTCTAGCACCACCTAGCCCACTCTCAGCACCTGCATGCCAGCGCTTTCCTGGACGTGGGCAAGAGACATAGCAGAGAAGAGAGTAGGAAGATCAATTCTAGGGAAAATGTGTTAACTGAAGGACTAAACAAATGAATGATTAATTTGCAAGGGCAAGGAAGACTACGGAGGCTTTCCTGTAAAAGATTAAATGCCTGGGAAACGACCGAGATTCCAGGTCGGCCCCGCCCGGGAGCCTCGGTAGCGCCCACCAGGCTTGCTCACCTCGAAGGGAGCGACGCTGGGGAAGGTGACATCGATGACCAGCACGCCAGGCCGGCCTTGAGAGGTCCGCACGTCGCCCACCTGCAGGGCTACGGTGCCTTTCACATGGCAAGGCACCAAAATGCGGGACATGGTGCCAGCAGCCGTGACAAACTGCAACCACCGCTCCAGGCCTCGGACCACCAGCCCTTCCCGGCATCCTCAGCCGACCCACAAGAACTACAACTCCCGGAAGGCCCCGCGAACCGCCTGCCCAGCCAATCACCGAAGTTCAGGGTGGGCCGGGAATCGGAAGTGCCTGCGGAAGTTTTTTTTTTTTCTTTCTTTCTTTCTTTTTTCTTTTTTTTTTTTTTTTTTAACAAGAAATCTCGCTCTGTCGCCCCAACTAGAGTGCAGTGGCGCCATCTCTACTCAGTGTAACCTACACCTCCCGGGTTCAAGCGATTCTTCTGCCTCTGCCTCCCTAGTAGCTGGGATTATAGGTGCCCGCCACCATGCTCGGCTAATTTTTTTCAGGTATGTCTTAGTAGTGTGAAAACGGATTTTTTTTTTAGTTATGTTTCACCAGGTTGGCCAGGCTGGTCTCTAACCTCTGACCTCAAGTAATACTCCCGCCTCGGCCTCCCAAAATACCGGAATTACAGGCGTGAGTCACCGCGCTCCTCCCACGGAAGTTCTCTTCAGCCAATCACTGCGGAAACCAGCGACTGCCTTGCCTTTCTCGTTGCAAGCCGTTCGGCTCCATTTGGCTTTCTTTCACTGTGTAGGGCAGTAGTCTGTTAAAGCACAGAAAGCCATCGACACAAATCAGCAGTGACTAGCCTACATTAACCTAAAAAATACGTATTAGCCATTGGAAAAAAAAGAGGATTTGAATACACGCTTTGCAAAATTAGATAGCCAATAAGCCCATGAAAAGATACTTAACATTTATAAAGGAAATACAATTTAGAACCTCCACACAGTCAGTCATTAGGCCAAAATTAAAGATTGACAAGGATGTGGAGTGCTTTGAACCCTCATCCATTGCTGATTTCCAACCACTTTGGGATTTTTTGTTTGTTTTAGAGACGGGTCTTACTCAGTCACCCAGGCTAGAGTGCAGTGCCCCGATCACAGTTCACTGCAGCCTCGACTTCTCAGGCTCCAGGGATCCAACCTCAGCCTCCCAAGTAGCTAGGACTACACGTACAAGCCACCACATCCTGCTAGTTTTGTATATTTATTTATTTATTTTTTTTTTTGAGGCGGTGTTTCCCCTCATTGCATAAATTGCAATGAGCTGAGATCCTGCCACTGTACTCTAGCCTGAGCAACAGAACAAGACTCCGTCTCAAAAACAAAACAAAAAAAAACAGGCTAGAAAGATCGCCAGGGGCTGGGAGTAGGGAGAAATAAGGGGTATTGTCAACAAGCACAAAAAAACAAAAAAGAGGCCGGACGTGGTGGCTCAAGCCTGTAATCCCAGCACTTTGGGAGGCCGAGGCGGGTGGATCACGAGGTCAAGAGATCGAGACCATCCTGGTCATCATGGTGAAACCCTGTCTCCACTAAAAATACAAAAAATTAGCTGGGCATGGTGGCGTGTGCCCGAAATCCCAGCTACTCAGGAGGCTGAGGCAGGAGAATTGCCTGAACCCAGGAGGCGGAGGTTGTGTTGAGCCGAGATCGCACCATTGCACTCCAGCCTGGGTAACAACAGCGAAACTCTGTCTCAAAAAAAAAAAAAAAAAAAAAAGAAAGAAAAAGAAAAAAGGCCGGGCGTAGTGTCTCACGCCTGTAATCCAAGCCCTTTGGAGGCCAAGGCGGGCGGATCACCTGAGGTCGGGAGTTCAAGACCAGCCTGACCAACATGGTGAAACCCTGTCTTTAAAAAAAAAAAAAAAAAAAGTTTTAAATGGTATTGTTGCTCACACCTGTAATCCCAGCACTTTGGGAGGCCAAGGTGGATCACGAGGTCAGGAGTTTGAGATCAGCTTGGCCAACATGGTGAAACCCCATCTCTACTAAAAATACAAAAATTAGCCAGGTCTGGTGGCAGTAATTCCACCTGTAATTCCAGCTACTCGGGAGGCTGAGACAAGAGAATCGCTTGAAACCAGAAGGCACAGGTAGCAGTGAGCTGAAATGCCACTATACGCCAGCCTGGGCCACAAGAGTAGAACTCCAGCCAGGTGCGGTGGCTCATGCCTATAATACCTGCACTTTGGGAGGCCAAGGCGGGTGGATCACCTGAGGTCAGGAGTTTGGCCAACATGATGAAACCCCGCCTCTACTAAAAATACAAAAAAATTAGCTGGGCATGGTGGCTCTCCACTTTAATCCCAGCTACTTGGCGGGGTGCTGTAGCTCACACCTGTAATCCCAGTTCTTAGGGAGGCAGAGATGGGAGGATAGCATGAGCCCAGGAGTTTGAGACCTCCTGGGCAATATAGCAAGACCCAGTTCTCCACAAAAAGGAAAAGAAGGAAAAGACACACACACAAAAAAAAATAAGCCTTATCCCAGCTACTCAGGAGGCTGAGGCACAAGAATCGTTGAATCCAGGAGACAGAGGTTACAATGAGCCACGATCACGCCACTGCACTCCAGCCTGGGCAACAAGAGCAAAACTCCATCTCAGGAAAAAAAAAAAAAAGGAATAGCCGGACGCGGTGGCACACACCTGTAATCTCAGCACTTTAGGAGGCCAAGGTGGGCAGATCGCAAACTCAAGAGATGGAGACCATCCTGGTCAACATGGTGAAACACCCTCTCTACTAAAAATACAAAAATTGGCTGGGTGCGGTGGCTCATGCCTGTAATCCCAGCACTTTGGGAGGCCAAGGCGGGTGGATCACGAGGTCAAGAGATCGAGACCATCCTGGTCAACATGGTGAAACCCTGTCTCTACTAAAAATACAAAAATTAGCTGGGCATGGTGGTGCGTGCCTGTAATCCCAGATACTCAGGAGGCTGAGGCAGAATTGCCTGAACCCAGGAGGCGGAGGTTGCAGTGAGCCGAGATCACGCCATTGCACTCCAGCCTGGGTAACAAGAGCAAAACTCCGTCTCAAAAAAAAAAAAAAAAAAAAAAAAAAAAATATATATATATATATATATATATATATATAAATTACATGCTCGCTTTGGCAGCACAGATACTAAAATTGGAACAACATAGGGAAGATTAACATGGCCCCTGTGCAAGGATTACACGCAAATTTGTGAAGTGTTCCATAAAAAAAAAATAAAATAAAATAAAATACAAAAATTACCTGGGCATAGTGGTGTACCTGTAGTCCCAGCTACTTGGGAGGCTGAGCCAGGAGAATTGCTCAAACCCAGGACACAGAGGTTGCAGTGAGCCAAGATCGTGCCACTGCACTCCAGCCTGCTGCCTGGTGACAGAGCCGAGACTCTGTCTCAAAAAAAAATTTTTTTTTAACTTTTGGAGGAGTTCTTTCTCAATCTCCTGGACTAGTCAGATCACTGTATATTGTCCATATGTCTCCAGATAGTATTGTAATAATCATCTAGATCCTGTCTCTCTCCCACACTGGCCTCTGTGGAGCAGGAGGGAAGAAATTGAATCTTTTTTTTTTTTTGGAGACGGAGTCTTGCCCTGCCGCCAGGCTGGAGTATAGTGGTGGGATCTCAGCTCACTGCAACCTCTGCCTCCAAGGTTCAAGAGATTCTCCTGCCTCAGCCTTCCAAGTAGCTAAGATTACAGGCACTCGCCACCGTGATTGGCTAGGTTTTGTATTTTCAGTAGAGACAGAATTCGCCATGTTGGCCAGGCTGGTCTTGAACTCCTGACCTCAGGTAATCCACCCACCTTGGCCTCCCAAAGTGCTTGGATTACAGGCATGAGCCACCGCACCCAGCTCTATTGTTTTGTTTTATTTTTTATTTTTGTAAAGATAACATCTTGCCAGGCGCGGTGGCTCACGCCCGTAATCCTAGCACTGTGAGAGGCTGCTGGGTGGATCACGATGTTAGAAGATTGAGACCATTCTGGTTAACACGGTGAAACCCCGTCTGTACTAAAAGTACAACAAATTAGCTGGGTGTGGTAGCAGGTACCTGTAATGCCAGCTACTCAGGAGCTGAGGCAGGAGAATCGCTTAAACTATGGAGCAAAGGTTGCATTGAGCTGAGATTGGCCACTGTACTCCAGCCTGGGCAGCAGGGTGAGAGTCCGTCTTAAAAAAAAAAAAAAAAAAAAAAAAAGATTAAAACAAAGATAAGGGTCTTACTTTGTTGCCCAAGCTGGTCTTATTTATTTATTTATTTATTTATTTATTTAAGAGTTGGGGTTTCACCATATTGGTCAGGTGATCCACCCTCCTTGGCCTCCCAGAGTGCTGGAATTACAGGCGTGAGTCACAGTGCCCGGCCCCAAGCTGGTCTTGAACTCCTGGATTCAAGCAATCCTCCTACCTCTGCCTCCCTAATTGCTGGGGTTTCAGCCAAGAGCCACCATGCCCATATTGTTTGATGTTAGGAATTTCCACTTAAAACCAAGATGGAGTCACTGAGAGATTTACCTTTCCATTTGAACCAATTAAGTAACCAGATAGGCAAGCACAGTGGCTTATGCCTGTAATCCCAGCACTTTAGGAGGCTGAGGCCGGAGGATCTCTTGAGCCTGAAAATCGAGGCTGTATCACACCACTGCAATCCAACCTAGTTGACAGAGTGAGAATCTGTCTCAAAAAAAAAAAAAAGAAAGAAAAAAGGCTGAGTAAAGTGGTTTACGCCTGTAATCCCAGGACTTTGGGAGGCTGAGGCAAGATGATTACATGAGCCCAGGAGTTTAAGGTCAGCCTTGGCAACATGGCAAAACTCTATCTCCACAAAAAATGTAAAAATTAGCCGAGCATGGTGCCCATGCCTGTAGTCCCAGCTACTCAGGAGCTTGACATTGGAGAATAACCTAAGGCCAGGAGTTTGAGGCTGCAGTGAACCAAAATGGCAAAAAATAATAATATAAAAAGGACAGGTGGGAGGCCGGAAGTTGCGGCCTCATTACTCGCCATTTCAAAATGCTGCCGAGTTTTACCAACAGACTGCAGTTTCTTCACTGCCAAAATGACGTCATTTTCCACCTCTGCCCAGTGTTCAACATCTGACAGTGCTTGTAGGATCTCTCCTGGACAAACCAATCAGGTACAACCAAAACTGCCCTTTTGAAGATTTTGCATGCAGCAGGTGCGCGAGGTGAAATGTTCACTGTTAAAGAGGTCATGCACTATTTAGGTCAGTACATAATGGTGAAGCAGCTTTATGATCAGCAGGAACAGCATATGGTATATTGCTGTGGAGATCTTTTTGGGAGAACTACTGGGATGTTAGAGCTTCTCCGTGAAAGACCCAAGCCCTCTCTATGATATGCTAAGAAATATTGGCCGGGCACGGTGGCTCAAGCCTGTAATCCCAGCACTTTGGGAGGCCGAGGCGGGTGGATCACGAGGTTAAGAGATTGAAACCATCCTGGTCAACATCGTGAAACCCTGTCTCTACTAGAAATACAAAAAAAAATTAGCTGGGCATGGTGGCGTGTGCCTGTAATCCCAGCTACTCAGGAGGCTGAGGCAGGAGAATTGCCTGAACCCAGAAGGCGGAGGTTGCGGCGAGCCGAGATCTTGCCATTGCACTCCAGCCTGGGTAACAAGAGCGAAACTCCGTCTCAAAAAAATAAAAAAAAAAGAAAGAAAGAATCTTGTCACTTTAGCCACTCTACTACAGATGCTGCTCACACTCTTGCTCTCGCACAGGATCACAGTATGGATATTCCAAATCAAGACCAACTGAAGCAAAGTGCAGTGGAAAGTTCCACTTCCAGGAGAAGAACTGCAGAAGATGATATCCCTACACTGCCTACCTCACAGCATAAATGCGTAAATTCTAGAGAAGATGAAGACTTAATAGAAAATTTAACCCAAGATGAGACATCTAGGATGGACCTTGGATTTGAGGAATGGGATGTAGCTGGCCTGCCCTAGTGGTTTTTAGGAAACTTGAGAAACAACTATACACCTAGAAGTAGTGGCTCAACTGATTTACAGACAAATCAGGATGTGGGTACTGCTATTGTTTCAGATACTACAGATGACTTGTGGTTTTTGAATGAATCAGTATCAGAGCAGTTAGGTGTTGGAATAAAAATTAAAGCTGCTGATACTGAACAAGCAAGTGAAGAAGTAGGAAAAATAAGTGACAAAAAGGTGATTGAAGTGGGGAAAAATGATGAACTTGACGACTCTAAGTCCTTAAGTGATGATACTGATGTAGAAGTTACCTCTGAGAATGAGTGGCAGTGTACTGAGTGCAAGAAATTTAACTTTCCAAGCAAGAGGAAAATGAAGGAATTGATGTGCCTGACTGTCGAAGAACCATTTCGGCTCCTGTCGTTAGACCCAAAGATGTGTATATAAAAAAAGAAAACTCCAAAGTTTTTGATCCCTGCAACTTGGTGGAATTCTTGGATTTGGCTCACAGTTCTGAAAGCCAAGAGACCACCTCAAGCATGGGAGAAAAGTTAGATAACCTTTCTGAACAGAGAACAGATACAGAAAACATGGAGGATTGCCAGAATCTTTTGAAGCCATGTAGATTATGTGAGAAAAGACCATGAGATGGGAACATTATTCATGGGAGGACAGGCCATCTTGTCACTTGTTTTCACTGTGCCAGAAGACTAAAGAAGGCTGGGGGTTCATGTCCTATTTGCAAGAAAGAGATTCAGCTGGTTATTAAGGTTTTTATAGCATAATGGTAGTACGAATATAAAAATACATTTGGGCCGGGTGCGGTGGCTCAAGCCTGTAATCCCAGCACTTTGGGAGGCTGAGGCGGGTGTATCACGAGGTCAAGAGATCAAGACCATCCTGGTCAACATGGTGAAACCCCGTCTCTACTAAAAGTACAAAAAATTAGCTGGGCATGGTGGTGCATGCCTGTAATCCCAGCTACTGAGGAGGCTGAGGCAGGAGAATTGCCTGAACCCAGGAGGCGGAGGTTGCGGTGAGCCGAGATCACGCCATTGCACTCCAGCCTGGGTAACAAGAGTGAAACTCTGTCGCAAAATAAATAAATAAATAAATAAAAATACATTTATTCAGTTCACATTAAAAAAAAAAAAGGACAATAGCAGCTGGGATCGGTGGCTCACGCCTGTAATCCCAGTACTTTGTGAGACCGAGGTGGGCAGATCATGAGGTCAAGAGATCGAGACCATCCTGGCCAACATGGTGAAACCCCGTCTCTACTAAAAATACAAAAATTAGCTGGGTGTGGTGGTGTGCACCTGTAGTCCCAGCTACTTGGGAGGCTGAGGCAGGAGAATTGCTTGAACCCAGGAGGCGGAGGTTGCAGTGAGCCGAGATCACACCACTGCACTCCAACCTGGCACCTGGTGACAGAGCAAGACTCTGTCCCAAAAAAAAGGACAATAGCAGAGCAAGACTCTGTCTCAAAAAAATAAAATAAATTAAAATTGGGCTGGCACAGTGGCTCATGCCTGTAATCGCAGCACTTTAGGAGGCTGAGGCAACCAGATTGCTTGAATCCAGGAGTTCGAGACCAGACTGAGTCACAGAGCAAACCCCCATCTCTACAAAAAAAAATACAAAAATTAGCAGAGCATTATGGCATGCACCTGTCATCCCAACTTCTCAGGAGGCTAAGGCTGGAGGACCACTTGAGCCCAGGAAATTGAACTGTTATTGTCCCACTGCACTCCAGCCTGGGTGACAGAGCAGGACTCTGTGAAAGAAAGAAAGAAAGAAAGAAAGAAAGAAAGAAAGAAAGAAAGAAAGAAAGAAAGAAAGAAAGAAAGAGAGAGAGAGAGAGAGAAAGGAAAAAAGAAAGAAAGAAAGAAAAGAAAAGGAAGAGAAATAAAATTTTTAAAAATAGACAAAAGATGTCATACAGTGCTTTTTGGACCTTGTACATCAGGCAACGCAAGAGAATAATATTGAAAAAATAGATACATGGTGGCTCACACCTGTAATCTCAGAATTTTCGGAGGCTGTGGGTGGGTCACAAGGTCAGGAGTTCAAGACCTGGCAGGCCAACATGGTGAAACCCCATTTCTATTACAAATACAAAAAATTAGCCCGGCATGGTGATGGTCACCTGTAATCCCAGCTACTAAGGAGGCTGAGCCAGAATAATCAATTGAAACCGGGAATTTCAATCGCAGCGAGTGGAGATTGCGCTACGGCACTCCAACCTTGGTGA